CTCTCTTCTCGATCGACGTTGTGACCCGACCTCCCTTTCTATCGACGGTGCCCTAGACGAAGGACCTCCACCTCGAGTTTCTTACCTCTAGGAGCTCTCACGCCCACGCCCACGAAGTGAAAACCGGCGAGGACTCCGAGGAGGGACAAGATCCTGAGCTTTTGTTTATCGAGACTCATCCTTTATGACGTCATCGTGCATTCGGGTATTTTGCACTGATTCTCACAAACTTCGGTGGGGGCTTTGTCCAACATGGGACTTTTTTTTGTTGATTTGTTTATTTTTTTTAAAGATGCATATTTCTGGTTTCATTGAGTGTTGGGCTTATGGATTTTCTGAAGGACAAGGTTTATGACGTCATCAAGCGTTCGTGTTTTTTTAAACAATAAATCTCACTGTATTGAAAGGAGGTAACATCTATAATCTATTTATTATACCTATACCTAGATGTACCACTAGATATCAAATCTCAACTATATATACGAAAGATAAAACAAAAAATAAGTAAAAACCTCTATATAACAAAAGATATTTTAGAGTTTGAATGTACGAAAGACGTGAGAATTAGACATTCCGTGGAAACAGGAACTTCAATTCACGGAAAAGGGATGAATCAGTCTTTATGTATGACGTCACGGATTGCGGTTCCACTACTATCTGCTATGACGTGCGGAACCACGTCATTAAACCCAAGGTGATATAAGTCTTTTTTGAAAGTGTGTAGCCTTGCGAGAAGATAGATATAAAATCCAATATTCCTCATTTCATTTTTTCCCTATTAGATTAAAATGCATTATGGTTTTAAAATAGTCCCATAATACAAAACAAAATTAAAAAAAACAGTATATTTCTTAAAGAAACTTTTATTATGTACCTATCTGATAAGTATATTATTTTCGTATTTTCTCTTTAATTGTCTCATGTATCAATGTAGGTTTTGAAGTGCCTGTGCATTCTCTACTTAACAATTTTTATTTAGATCCTGTGCAATTCGGCGTTTTTTTGTTTGTTTGTCTTATTGATGATTTTGTTTGTCCAATGTTCTGTAATCTACTGTGTTATTTTATGTGGTTGATAGTCTGGATTTCATTATATATTTCTTTTAGGTTTGCCTCTCTTTCTTTTTAATTACCTCCTCCCTTGCCCTTACCAGAGATTAATCATTATCTTCTTATTGCAGTATTTTCATCAAGTATAACTTTTATCACATCATAAATCATCACAAAACCTTATATGTTCTAAAACTAAATACCTTCGTTATTTTACTACTGAAGAACAAAAAGAAACACCAACAGTTTTTTTTTCTATTTTGAATATAAACGACTAAAATAACATGTCACGTGGCAGGTAAACCCATTTACTTAACCAAAGGAAAAAGAGAAATGACGTAATCATCATGTGGCATGCAACTTGCTATCTTATCAAGTCCATCTGATAAGAACGAACGCAGAGTGAAATATAAACCTATTGCATATAATAATCACGTATCTCTCACAATTATTTTCATTTTTTTTTTTTTACAGTAAATCGACGATGATAAGTTTAAATGTCTTTGTGGAGCCCCCCCCACCTCCTTTCTTTACAGGAAATCCTCAAACGGACAACATCCTCTATGATAAGGCTAACAGAGAGAGAGAGAGAGAGAGAGAGAGAGGGGGGGGGGAGAGAGAGAGAGAGAAAGAAAGAGAGAGAGTTTTTGACTCTGACTTTAACAAGTTTATTAAGACAAAAGCTTACATCTCAAAACTAAGGTAACTAAGGTTATCCTCACCCCTATCTTAATAAGTCCCTGTGTGGGTCACATATATATATATACATATATACATACACACACACCTATCTCTAATGTTCACGCGTGATCTTTTTGACTAACTCTCCATAAACAAGGATATGCTTGATGCACTTTGACATATTCGCACAGAATGCGGGTTGTTTATTACGGTGGCATTGCCACGGGCAGTGATGCAGCCAGATATTCGAGGGCCCGGAAAGCGAAGTCCATTGAGGGGCTTCTATCGTTCGGTGGAAAATCACCCCCCCCCCACACACACACACAAACTACGCCACTGGTTACAGGGTGTGACAGAAACGTTTAGGTTTTATTTTCGTCTCTAATACCATAGTATAGAGTGGGAGGAAGCCATTAACTGTTATTTATATTCTACCAATATGGCAACCGGCAGTAAGGAGATCACTGACTGGGAGGGAGGGAGGGAGGGAGAGAGAGAGAGAGAGAGAGAGAGAGAGAGAGAGAGAGAGAGAGAGAGAGAGAGAGAGAGAGAGAGGGGGGGGGGGGAGAGAGAGAGAGAGAGAGAGAGAGAGAGAGAGAGAGAGAGAGAGAGAGAGAGAGAGAGAGTAAACAAGGATATGCTTGATGCACTTTGACATATTCGCACAGAATGCGGGTTGTTTATTACGGTGGCATTGCCACGGGCAGTGATGCAGCCAGATATTCGAGGGCCCGGAAAGCGAAGTCCATTGAGGGGCTTTTATCGTTCGGTGGAAAATCACCCCCCCCCCACACACACACAAACTACGCCACTGGTTACAGGGTGTGACAGAAACGTTTAGGTTTTATTTTCGTCTCTAATACCATAGTATAGAGTGGGAGGAAGCCATTAACTGTTATTTATATTCTACCAATATGGCAACCGGCAGTAAGGAGATCACTGACTGGGAGGGAGGGAGGGAGAGAGAGAGAGAGATGAGAGAGAGAGAGAGAAAGAAAGAGAGAGAGTTTTTGACTCTGACTTTAACAAGTTTATTAAGACAAAAGCTTACATCTCAAAACTAAGGTAACTAAGGTTATCCTCACCCCTATCTTAATAAGTCCCTGTGTGGGTCACATATATATATGAGAGAGAGAGAGAGAGAATATACCGTTTGCATAAGCACGTATAGGCCCACGCTGACCACATGGCGTACCCATGCCTCGAGGCCAAGGATGACCCGGGTCAGAGAGAGTCAGTGGCCAGCGCTGGTCAAGTCAAGGTCGCCCTGGCCTACGGCTTCAGGGCGGGAGGGCTCAGGTCACCTTCGCCCCGCAGGGCTGACCGCCGACCTTCCCGCACTCCGCGCTTTTCCCAAGATTTGTCTAGTGTGTTTATCTCTGTTTTGCTTGTACTCTTAGAAACAAAGAGTCAAAGCCATCGTCCACTAATACTACTCCTGCATAACCAATGTATAAAGGTGTTCAGTATATAAGCCCTTTACATCTAGTAGCAGCGGTCTAGTTGCGACCTTTCGGCTCGCAACACTGGACACGCAGTCTCCGGTTACCGCTCGACCCATCGTTACCACGATGACATCGTCAAAGCCGCCACATGAGTACACATTTTGGGCCTTTTCCTTTTTTTTCTCTATCTTCTCCCATAAATGTGTTAAGCCGTATGTAAGGGTTATTGAAGGGAACCTCTAAACATTGGTGACAGGGAAGTAGTAAACGTTTAGTGGCTTAAAACTCTTTTATTGATAGAACTAGCACACAGAGAATAAACACAAGTATGACAGTCTTGGGTTATGGCTGGTCACTTGGGGTCACCGGCCAGCCCACCTCCACGTGGACCAGCCCAGTGGGCTGTTGTGACCTCTTGACCTTGCCAGTCACACTCTGCCTTGACAGGGTCATCCTTGGAGAATAAGTAGCGGTGACTGGAAGCCAGGGGCGGAGCTACAGAGGCGTGGCTAAAAAAACTGCCAATGCCCGACCTTCACGTGGGCGTGGCCGCCTGGGACACTGGTAATTTTTCCCTTTGCCTTGCCCAGGGGCGTGTTCGCCCGCGGCGGCTTCCAGGCCTCCAAGCTGACCTCTCTCTGCAGCCTGAGGGTCAGGTCAGCAGGGCCTGGGGACCATTGGTTATATTTCCCTTGGCCACCTGGGGTCAAGTCAGCGGCAGATGTTCTTATGGATCTCATACCGTATGTGCAGTCACGCTCACGTTGGTTTTGTTGGGTTAAAGTGCTAATTGACAGCAAATGGCATTCTTCTGACCTCAGATCACATTACTGCCAGAGTGCCTGATTACCCTGGGGTTGCATTTATGCGTAATTGATCCGAGCTCCGACGTAATGATAGTAGGTACAAGTGTAACCGAAGTTATTCATACGCTTGACAACTTTTGAGCCGGTGTGACCCATTATTACGTCCGTTAACTAATGTAGGACTAGGGCTTAAGCTAGAATCGTGATTCACTTATTTATCACACCCTGCTCACACTCTAGACGTCGCTGGCATGTTTGGGTAAATCGTGATAAATACACGAGCGCCATCACAGATCCGCAGATAGAGTGGGTTATTTAAAAAAAAAATCCAGCTCGTTTTCGCTTCGTTAAATAGTGTAATTTGGGTACAGGCCCCCCGTCAATGAAGTCTGCATGTGCAGTTAGAAACTTTTTACCTCGGCAGCCCCGAGAAGATTCGCTTGCGGGAAGCTTGAGAATATTGTTTTCACGTCGCCATTCATTAGTGCGTCATTCTGTCACATATCATTAAATGTTAAATTCAATGAGGTAGTTGAAATAATTTTGTATTACATCTATAACTAGTTCATCGCATTTTTTTTAATGAACATTATTCTGAGGTTTAGCATCCATGTCCACTCTGTGTGCGGTCACTCTCACTCTCATTAACTGTAACTCACACACGCACACACACACGCTCCCTCACTCACTCACCCACGCAGAACAAAAGACACTGAAACTTTCCATTAATAGGGTTTGTTGCTGCCGCAATTTTGTCAGTTGTGATGTGTGACTTGTACATGAATTCTTATTTTACATACATTTCTTTTCTGTGTTATGACAATGGTTCAAGTAAATCCTAGCGGATTGCCATTTGTTGTTTCTCTTACTTTTTTCTCGTATCTATCAAGAGACGGTTTGGTAGTTCAAGCTAGGTCCTTGTGGATCGCTACTACCGTCTCCCTCATCTATTTTCTTCTTTAACTTTGTTAATGAAAAACCGTCACCGGAAGATCTCCAGAAGCCTGGAGACCAGGAAA